ACTCTGATGAAAACTCCAGTGTGCACTGTGCTGTAATTGTGCTGAAATAAGAGATGAGGATAAGTAAATTCTAAGCTGATGAACAATTTCTTTGCATGAATCACTTTCATGAATTGTCATGGAGATACAGGCACTTGGCCTTATAAGAGACACATTTATCAGCATTAGCAGCATAATGGAAGGCAGGCTTTGAAAGACTATCTCTTGAGACAGCAGATTTCATCATTGTTGTTAGGCCATGTGGACATATGTGCAATTATCTGTGGAAACTTCGATTCAGTCTCTGTGGCACTGCTGTCTTTCACAATCATCATTTTGTTACAATTCCTAATAATGGCAACCAAATCCAGAAGATTACAAGACTGATGTTAATTGTTCACCCAGATCAGCCTATTAGAAGCAAAAAATTACAAAACTAATTATGGCTCAGTAAACTGAGGAAATAATTTAATTTCTAAAGTACACAGTCCTTGCACATTGGTAATGGTGTCTTTTATGTTACCTCGATTAATTTCTCCTCATCCTATTTAAATATATACTAATTATGAATTATGTTGTAATTTCAGCTGTTAATACTGTGTCTGTTAATACAGACACAGAAGCAATCAATTGCATATTTCTAAATTCATCATATTTCCTACTGATTTTGCTTCAAGCTTCATGTGATTTTAAAATACTAAATAGTAAAAAACAAACAACCAAACAAAAAAATCTTATATGCTAATTCCATCATGTGGTTCTGTAACAGTCAAAGTTTCTATTAATATGTGGTTTTCTGTGATAAGCAGAAGTTTGCTTATCAGAAAGTTGCCATCAGCTGACTAACTGAAACTCTGATTGTGTTTCTGGCACTAGTAATGTGAGTTCTGTATGAATGAAGGCAAGATGCATATAACCAACTACAAGTAGAGTCCGGGAGACGTTTTTTCTTTTTTTTCCATTCTGTCTTTTCACATATACTCATCTCCTTGCCATGCTGACACACATGTGCAAACTGCTTTCCTCTTGATAAGTCTGAATTGCAAATTAAATATTCCATAAAAGATTACAAGGAAAAGTACATACAGAGCACTGCTGTAAAACAGCACTCAAATATTTCCTTACTTGTCTGTTAAACGCTTGGAAATAATTGCATCTGGCATTTTCCTTACTCTGTGATTCAGTGTCCTTCTCCATGCTTGCTGCCCAACTTTGGCTGCAGGAGCCCAGCGGCCAGTGCCACTGCCTGCAGCAGCTGCAACGATGCCCAAGGTGATGAGCAGGCCACGTGCACATCCTACCCAGGGCTCTGAGCAGTACAGGCAGCTCCTCCAGGAGCTTCTGGTTGGATTGCAAGCAGTACCAATAGCACTCACTGCCTCATACTTGACACAGCGCACTGTGCATTCTGAAGCTTTTGATGCAAAGGGAAGAGCTTCAGTGGACTTGGGATCAGGCCCATCACTGCAGCACAGCTCAAACTCAAGGCTTTTATGGAGGTAGCATGTTATTACAGCAGGACAAAAACAGTTATAAGTATTCTTCTAATGACATTATTTTATTGCTAGGTTTTATCTACGGAAAAATAAATATAACACATTTGTTGGTTTTTTTTTTTTTGAAAGAGCTGAAACAAACAATGTATTTTTCATTAAACAAACACAAGCTTCACACTGAACAACAGAGCTGATGGATGTTAATCTCACTACTAAATATGGATCCCATCTGAAAAGGTGAGAAAGCTCTAGATCACCCACGCTTCTCACCCAGGGAATGTGACTACTGAAAATCCCATTCCCCAGACAGCTTTTTTTTTTTTTTTTTTTCCAAAGGAAAAGAATGGCCAGGAGAGATTATCAGCGAGATCTAAACATGCCAGAAGGGTAAGACCCCAACCTTCATGCATCTGTCCCTCTGAAACTTTGTGTACAGAAATATCAGCAATTTCTTGATCAGTTGAAACCAAGTGGAAGGAGCAAGAGGGCAAGTTACCCACACAGGCAGGTAGAGTTTTGAAATACAAGGCAAACTATGGTAAGGCCAAATCACAGGAATTACTTACAGTTTGTTAACTAGTTAAAAACAAAAAAACAAAAGCCAAAAATACAATTAAAAAAAAAATAAAAAGGAGAATATAGTCTTTCCATTGTTCTGGAGGAACAAGAGGTTTAAGTCTCAAGGGGTGAAAGCTGGGCTATGGCTCAGCCTGAATGTATTTCTGTATTTCACATCCAGCATGTGGACACTTTCCTAAAAAGTGTATGTAGGGCAGACTGCTTTGAAAAAAAAGGACATATGACAATGCAACAATGTAGAGTCATTAATGGTGCTCATCACTGGTTTTAAGGATTTTCAAGTATAAATGGGAATTGATGATTACTGATAGTGCATATTTGCATGCTACTGCACCACACCTACGTACAGCACTACAGAGAGATGTTAATGAAAAAAAATAAGGCAAAAGGAGAAAGCCCAGATGTGCCCCTAAAGAGTCTGCAGTCTAATTTAGGCAAATGGAGAGCATGGAGATAAAGAAATGAAACTTAAATGAAAAAAAGGAACTTAAATTCATTATGCAATGTAAATGATGTGATGAGAGCAAGGAGCTGATCAAAAACTCCCAAACATGATATTTCTTTTCTGGCAAGAAGACACAAAGATAGATAGAGACCAACACCATCTCCTCTACCACCACCGGCTCACAGGAGCTGCCAGGCAGAAGATGGGGAAGCGTGTAGGGGTTGTGGGTCCAACGACAGGGCGGTATGACCAGCACCCAAGCACCTGGTGAGCACCAGACTCCTACCTTGCGCTGGAGAACCACTTTTCTCTGTGTTTTGCCTGGTGCCTGGTACTTCCCAGGAAGCTCCACTTTGCAATTCTGCTGAATAAAAACTTTTTTCTTCAGTACTGCTAGAGGCAGGTAAGCATGACTAACAACTCTGCTTTTACATGACTTCTAGACAATCCGTTTAACACGTATTTCAGCTGTGCCCTGCTGTGGACGTGATGTTGCCACTCATTTTCATGATGAGCTCCCAGTAACTAATAATACCAGATCTGCTCTACGTTATACATATCTGTAGGTATGCAGGTGCACAAATTTACACAATCTAAGTCTATGGCCACTTTTCAGTCACTAAATACGTAGTAGGGACAAAGAGAAAGACAAAAAGATTCATAACATGAGTTTAAGTAAGCCAAGCCTTCAACTCCAGAGCTGTTTTGCGTCCAGCCTGAGGTATCTCAGTTTAGGTGTGTGAAACTATATTAGCTATTTGGGGTGGCTACCCTTGAAGAATAGTGCTATGAACTTGCCTGGCTGTGTCTGCACTTACCCCTCTGAGCTGTGCCCTAGGACCCAGAGGCTGTTGGACCAGGTTGGGCACTTGGTGTGGTGTGCTCTGGTTTCAAACAGCACATTCCTCTGAACTGATACCCAGGTTCGCAGACTGCTCTGGGTAATGCCCTAGAGCTGGGAGACTGCTAGGACATGCCCTGATTGGATAAAGCATGTCACTATATAAGATTCTTTCTCCATCCTTCTTGGCCTAAAGAACTGCTGGAAAAAAAGATGGCTACCTTGTACAGTGCTATCACTGTGGTTCTCATTTTCAAATACACATGCTTTGCTTGCATGGTGTACACACATGTGCATACAGTGTAAAGTCTTTTTCCCTGGGTGGTTTCTGGAATCATGTTCTCGTGGTGCAGAGCTGACTCTGAGTTACTCCATTAATTTTGTGAAGCCCTTTAAAAGGCTTTCAGATGCAAACTCCTGAACTCCAGTGTTTGGGTTTGGGCAGAGGAAGCAAGCACGTGAATTCATTCTTTCTGCACTCTTCTGTAATTCCAGGAATGAGGGAGGGAAGGAAGGACAGTGCCTCCCACATACGCCAAAGACTCAACCGTGTCTTCATTTGTAATTTCCATGTGTGTGCACATATATATCTTGTACATGTATCTTACACTTGCAGGAAAACAAATCTCTTCTGACCTCACTGATGACTTAACTCCCTGTAACAGGAGATGTAGGAAGAAAGCCCGGTGCCCCATTTTAAGGTTCGATTAAGTTGTATTTGTACACACTCCACAGGGATGCTAGCTCTGCTCTACCCCACAAGCAGAGACTACAGTTCCCGGACTGCCCATCGCACCCCTTCAGTTGTGCATGGAGCTCATTTCAAGTGCAGCATGTTCTAATTTATTACAACTATTATTACAAATCAATGGGATTTTAAGGCTCCATCGGCTCCAAGGAAAACCATACATCTCGGTTGCATGCACTGAGTCTGCCAAAGGGGCAGCAGGGGAGGCTCAACCTTTCTCTAGTGAAGATAATGATGCCACTCTTGGCTCCCTCTGCAGCTAGGGGAAATGCTATCCGCATCCCTCTGTCTATAAACAGTAACCGTATGGCTGCTGGGAAAGGCTTCAACTCCCACTGTCAGCACAAAAAACAAAGGAAACACAGACCTGAGGAGGACCAGCCCAGGGGACAACAGAAAAAAAACAGCGTCCGGATGCAGATAAAGGGTCCAGCTCAGGCTCTGCCCTTTACCTGAGCAAGGGGAAGCAGTAATACTGAACAGTTGCTGCCATCTGAGGACCGTGCTGTCTGCCAAGCCACTCCTTAGTGCAACGACTTTGGCACCACGTATAAGTTTAGCCGTCCCCTAAGCTGCGATCCAATTACTGTGTGAGGCAAGGTGATTTTCTCGTCCTGCAGGAAACCTTCAGCCTGGCTCTGGTGATGAATTTACAGCAAACCGGAACGCTGCATGGTTTCGGGATCGTACTCCTGTCCTAAATTGCTTCTGCATTATCTCTGGGAACTCTCAGTAGATTAAGGCCTAATTGCACTCTAGTTAATGTGTCTGGTGGCCCTGTCAACACCCATAAAAAGACATGTTGAGTTCTATCACGTGATTTAGATCCAAATTGCACATTCTTGAAAACCTTACCTGGGTAAATGGTTTTTTTTCTTTGTGCATTTCTCTGCTGCCTCTTCTCTTCAGGGAACTCTGAAACAAAAGATTGCTGGGTTATTGATAAGCAGAGCATTGAGTCTGCAAGTTTGGCAGAGCCCACCACCATAAAACTAATTGAGGGGAAAGCAGAGATATTCTCCTGAGCAGTTGGGGGTTTAATTTCTGGTATTAATCACTAAGAAAACAAGATTATCAGAGCCCTGACAGTGGGTTTTCTAATGCACAATATTTCCCACACACACAAAAAAGAAAGGAATAAAATCAGTTAAAAGTTCACAGAGGTGGGAAAACCTCTTTTTCTTCTCCTCTGGACCACCACAATTTTTGGCAAAACTTTCTTTTGGTATGAAGCAATGATTTATGTTTGATTAATCCAGGGCAGAAGTCCAAGAATGTTACTCACAGTGGATGTGAAACACATTGTGGAAACCTCAGAGGAAGGCAAAACAGAAAAATGGAAAGTCAGGCACGTTTAAGCTATGTGGCATAATGTCGCTAGTTAGTCCTTGCTTGCAAATACACAATGAATGAAGATAAAACCAAGTGGAAAAAAAACCCTATTCTCCATGTATGTCTGAACTCACTATGCAAATTAGATTTGATTGCCATTTCAAATCTTTACATCAGTTTATAGGCATTTTTTTCAGACAAAGTTTATGTTTAAGACACAGGAACGATGTCATCACACCTGCTTGGCTCATGAAACCTCTCATCTCCAAAGCACAGCTCTCCTCAGGAGGAGTAGGTGGAGCTCGGCCTCGTCTTTCACCAACCTTGCCAACCTTATGTTTCAGGACCAAGTTCAAACTGCTTTAAGGCAGATTTATTTAGAAACCTCAAAAATTTGACTTTTTTTGGTTGAAGTTTGTCAGTATCACAGTAGTACAATAGATGTTAGGCAAGAAAGCAGCAAGCTAGAAACTGCAGATTTGCCTGATTCAAAGATGGCTACACTACTCTGCTGGTGCCCAGAGTTTCAGCTTCTCTAGAACCTGCTCCATGCACACAGGAGATGCAAATACAGGGCTCTTTGGCATGCAGTGCCTCCCCTTCAGGTAGTCTGAGGGTCCTTCATGGTGGCCTATGCCTCTAACATGACCTTCAGTAGCTTGTAGCACCTCTGTGATCAGAAAATGCTCTGCTTGTCCCTCCAACAAGCAGCAGAGCAGGCTTTGACATAGCTCAAGAGAAAATAGGATTCTTTCAATCAGTAAAAGTAGAGAAGGCTTGAAGGATGATGCTCCCTAACTATCAACCCAACATTGTGTCCTCTTCCACTGACTACTTCCATTTATGTTCACTCTACAAGGGGCAACGCTGAAGTGAACTTTTGGCTGTCATGAGCTTGATTGCACCAGTGCAGCTCCTGCATCCAAGGGGCAGAATACCTAACTCCATATGCAATGCTAACCCAGGGCTGGACTGCACATTTTTGGGGTGTATTTGAAGTTTACAGGTGCATAAGTGAGGATGCAAACTTAGAACAGGCTGACAGGCTGCCCAAAGAAGCTGTGGTGCCCCATCCTTGTAGGCGCTCAAGGCCAGGTTGAATGGAGCCCCGGGCAGCCCTGCCCATGGCACAGAGTGGGACTGGATGGGTTTTGAGGTCCTTTCCAACCCAAGATATTCTGTAATTCTTTGATTCTACTCCAGAGCTCAGCTAGGCTCAGTACAAGGTCTGCAAAACGTAAGCCCAGCAAAGAGGAATAAGAAGGACGAAGAGGCATCCTGCTAATTAGTTAAGGTCCATCTTATGCCTGTCATCAGCTAACCGAGAACACGGTGTGAGCTCAGGGACGCACACTGTGCAAATGCAAGCAAAAGCTTTCTGTGGCTTTGTGGCTTCTGACTGTTAAGCTACGTAGCTACTACAAATTATAATTATGGCATGCTAAGACAAATCTCTCCTTCTGCTCTTTGTTATACACAGTTAAGTAGTTAAAACTCATTCATATGCAGCACCATATGCCCAAGACATATTACAGTTTGGTTTTGCTAATCTGCTCTCTACTTTAATCTCATGAAGTCCTATAACTAATGAAGCTGTGTTAGAGAAATGTTCTTTTTTTTTTTGGTAGATACTGAAACAGTTTAAGGAAAAAAGACATTAAACACTACAAACATATGAAAACCTGCTACACAAGCTTAGCCAGGATAAACAGTTACTGCTTTCCCTTTTTCTATTTTCAGTGTGGCATTATTCTGGAAACAGAGATGTAACTGCAAGCAGCTGCCAGCCACCATGCCTGCCCCAGCCCCCAGGTCAGTGGGGCTGGTCAGTGTGGCTGAAGAGCCATGGGGACAGCCCTACTCTCATAACCATTGCTCTTTGTGACTTCAGGCAAGAGTAGCATAAACAGGAAACAAGAGGATGCCGTCTGGTTGCTGCATTCAGTTTGTAAGTTCTTGGAGTCAGAAGGAGTTTGCGGAGAGGCCTCTGTTCAAACAAACCAACAATACTGGAGACGCAAAACCTTGTGCTCAATCCTAGAAACATCCTGCTCCAACCAAAGCAAAGAGCTGTGGTTGGATACATCCAATCTGAGAAGCTGGATGGGTTGTGGTATACAGTGGGCGATGATGGAGCCTCTGCTTGGTTGTAAGGAGTAATACACAGAAAGTAAAGAGAAAGGAAGTAAAATATAGGTAGGAGAATTGGATCACATGATAAGAAACAGGCAGGTAGCAACCTGGCCTTAGGAGCTTCACTCTTCACTGAACAAAATGGATTTCACAGATCCAGAGTAACAAGCTTTTAACATAATGCCATAGTCGGGACCTTGCCTCCAGCATTTTCACACTGATCTGCTGGATTTGCATGAAAACCTTCTGATCAGTGCTGGATTGGGAGAGTGCTTTGTATTTCCATCACGCAGGGGCTCAACTCTAGCTTGTATTAGAGTATGCATGCAATACTTGTCTCTGTGGGCTATAGGGGGGAGAAAACCCACCTGTCAGTGCAGGATTACAAACATAGGGATGGCCATGAAGGACTACTCAGACCAAAGTCCCCTAAATCCCCTTATGAGAGCAATGAAAGGTTTCCAATGTGCTGCCGTGAATCTCAGCTGCATGCATGCATGAAACACCAACCTACAATGCTGACATTTCTGTGGGACTGAGGGCAGAAGGTGCCACTGAAAAAAGAAATAGGTGGAACACACTATGAGCCCAAGTGATTTAAAATGGTACAATAAAGGCATATTTCTCTTTGAAGTGCAGGAAATCAGCATCAGAAGCTGATATGAATTAACACTGGAAGGAATATTTCTATACTACTTTTTATACTCAAGATACTAACCAGATCTGGCTGTCTACCAAAATGTTTTTCCACGATAGTTAAACAAGACTTTATTAGTCATTTGGATAACATAGCCTCTCAGGAAGGAGGTTACTCAATGGAAATTTTCTGCCACCAGTTTCACTGCAGTTTGATTTTCACCACAGCTCGTAGCTACTAAGGAAACTTAATACACAGGGTTAATAAATTGCCTGGTGTTTTAGAAGTTAAACTTCCCCATAAGATCATTGGATGTAGTGACTGCAGTACTAAAAGCAGAAAGAGATACAATTATTTGCACTTCTCCTAGGAGCACTGAGAGAACAGGAAGAGATGATTTACATCTTTCAGCACAGATCCAGGAAATGTTGCAAACCAAGAAGTGAGAGCAAGAAGGGAGAGAGAAACTGCCCATGTGGGGAACAGCAAGCAGTAAATCAATTGACTTAAATGAGAGGTTCAGCAAGACACTGGAATAAGGTGTGAATTAACAGAAATCATAGATGTAACACATGATATACTGTCAGCTATAATACTGAGCCAGGATCTGGGAAGACTGGGAGTAGAGCTGTGGACAGGAGGCAGTAAAGAAGGAAAAAAAGAAGAGAGAATCAAGAGCTGCTTGGAGCTGTCAGTCTGTCATTTTATTTGCTGATATTAAAAGGAGTGAGGCATTTTGGGTGCAGTCTGGCATCAGCAGGCAGATGCTATTGTATGTGCATCAAACTGAACCTGCAAAATCAAGTAGTCAGCCACTGAAGTGACAATGTCTGCAACTTAAAAACAGAGAGGCTGCCTCAGAAATTCTGGCCCTGAAGGCAATTTCTGTCACTGTGATGTGTGAGGAATTATGCACGAGCATCACGGTGGTTTATGAGTTGTATAAATAATGTTCTCTGCACAACGATGGCTTGCTCCCAATTGCTTTGAAATGGAATATCACAGATTTCATTTGCATTTATTAGAAAATACTGCCAGTGAGAGATCTCTAAAAAAAAAAAAATCTGCATGAGTGACCAAACTCACTTTCTCTAAATGCCCCAGTAGCTTACACAGGCTGCTTTCAATTGACTGTTTTCCATAAGGTAAAAACTTCAGAGCTGCACACTGGCATTTTCCAGTGAGAGCTACTTCTTGTTGGATGCTGAGCCCCCTCAGGTCTAGCAATGAGCAAAATTCTCAGCATCACAGCACATGGTTGACTCTAAAACCCCATCATTGCACTGACCCCTTCACAGCAGAGGTCTAGCTGAAGGCTAGGCTGCTCAGCAGGGATGTGAATCAGGAAAAAACCAGTTTCAGTTCCAACAGGCAGTCAGAAGGTGGATTTATTCCCAAGTGATGTGAAGCAGTGTTTGTTAACTGCAGCACTAATCACTGCTTGGGAATGACTCACCACTGGTGGTACCACTGGTGTTATCTGGGCACTTTGCCAGACCACATGAAAAGGTTCCTGAAGGATGACAAAACCCTTCTCCAGAAACCCCCATCCAGCTCCTCTGGCCACTGCAGACAGCTTCACTTTTTTTTTTTGGCAGTTTCTGACTTGCCAGCCCCTGGCATTCATGGGTGCAAGATTCCCCCTCTATCTCACTGCTTCAGAGCTACCCTGGTCTTGCCCAGTTTGGTAGATAAAGACAAAAACCATGCAGAGAACTGACACTCTCAACACATCTGAAATTTTGTTTTGCTGCCATCCTGTACTTCAGTATTACACTGGTCACTCAGTGAGAATATGGCAGCAGATCTT